AATTTATTATTTCTCTTCTTAGCTGATTTCTTATATATGTATATATATAAATATATGCATGTACATACTTGCATATTTTATTGAAAATTTTTACATTTACAATATTAAGTAAAATGAATTATGTGCAGAGCTACTTAGAAAGAATTATGTAGGTATGTTTCAAATATGTCATAATGAAAGAAATTTCAATGAAATATAAAGGAAATATCATGACTTTATTTATTGAAATAGATTGTGTATTCTGTAAATTATAAAAGAAAAAATAGGAAAATAAAAAAAAATGAAAAAGAAATTTTTGCTAGGGTATTCAAACGTAATTAAGTATAAAGGAAAAACCTTGAAATATTTATGTATATAGGTACATAAATGGAAAAAATTAGTATACAACATAAAAGTATTAAAAATCATTAAATTTAAATGTATAAAAGAATTCTTTCTATTAAAATCTAAGCTATAAATGTAATGAGTACGACTAAACAAGTAAATTGATAAAGATTTATAGTTTCCTGTATAAGTAAGAAATTTTTCCGTTTTGTTTTCTTTTTTTGTTTGCTAAAGAAAGAATGGAAAATCTATTCAAATTTCAAAATAGGAAAAAAATCTTATATTACAGGAAATTCTCAATATTCTATAAGATTTTTCAATATTTTTTATTAGTAATTCGAAAAATGTGTTTTGCAAAATTTTTTTTTTTTTTACATATTAAATATTAATTAGTAATAATAATTAATTGTGATTGCAATATACAAAATTATTAAATAATAAAATTAATATAATTATAACATGCATTAATTATGACTAATATTCAATCATGCTTGAATTATTTATAAAATAATAATTTTGATGATAAGAACAGTAAACACTTTTATAATACTCCTAAGGTAAGACGATTTTTTTTATGAGATATTAAAGAACTACAAATTTCCCTAAAATACAGTAAATTTCTCAGAAATAATTATTTGTTGAGAGTAGATTCGTATAGAGTCATATTATTCCAATTCACTCTCAACAAATTATATTTTTTGAGAAATTTGCTGTACCTTTTAACACTAACAATGTACTTTAATTATTATTCATTTAATTACTATTAATAACACTATATTAGTAAGAAAATAAGGATGTTTGTATACTGTTATCTAAAGAGAGTTTTTGTCTATTATCTGGTCTGTAAGGGCCTCATTTTGAATTATAATTTGTAATGCAATTTAATACAGAAATTTTAAAAAGAGAAGTGATATTTTTTATTTTGATTTTCCAGATTTAGATTTTCCAAAATAATGAGATTTGCATTTGTTTAGGTTAAACAATTTGTGATAAATTCCAGAACCTACATAATATTTACATACCTGAATTCTTTTATTTTCTCCACCAAATATATATTATTTAAAAGTTGAGAAATTTTTGATTACACTGAACAAAAATAATTTCTCCATTACCAATAAAAAATCATTGAATTAAAAATATTACCCCATATAGAATATTTGTTGGCAATGTGCTCGAAACTCTTCTAACCACATAATTCTAAAACAAACTTTAAAAATACTATAAAGCACACCGAAACCCCTCATATATAAAATATATATATGTATGTATGTCGTTTATCGGAATATTAAAATTACCTTTTACTAATTTTTATTAAAATAAATTAATTTTTGTGTTTAAATAATGGTGTTTGACTATGTGTGCTATTATAATTTGAATTCATTAATTAGAGAAGAAAAAAAAAGACTTATTCAAAGAGACAATCAAATTGTACCATGTCCTCAATATTCAAAAAAAAAAAAAAAAACAACAAAATTACTTCAGAAAGTCGATAAAATATTTATGAAAAGGTGTTAACATAACACCTATTCTCTCAATTCTTTTGATTCTTTGTATTTCCAAAGTAAGAAAAAAAAGAATTCTTTTGACATCCTCATATAATGCACTTATGAAACATTAACAAAAAAAAAATAAAACGAAAAATTTTTCTTTTTTCTTAAATCTTTTTAAGAAAACCGAAAATTTATTGAAAAGAGTTAAAAAACAAGCCTTGTCAGCCTGGCAATTTATGTGTAAGTTTTAAATGTCTTTAAAAGTCTTGTATGTCTTATATAGGTGCTTAAATAATCGAAGTTTTTTGTCATATGGTAAAAAATTATAATTTTGTCTAAATTTTAAAAAGTAAAATGAATTTTTTTTTTGTTTTATTTGAAATTAAAATTTTAAAATTTCAAAGGTATCGTAAATGCAAATGATCTGTTGATTTAAGTATAATAGAATATGTGAAGGTTCAACATAATTTTTGTAAGCTTTTATACTAAATTTATTGTAAATTATTTTTGTTTTTTCCTGAACTGTAATCGTACAGTAAAGTTCGAACAAAGTTAATGGGTTAGACGAAATCTTCATATGAGTTGCAAATGTTAACCTATTCCAAAATAGGTACAATAAATAATGTTACAAAATGCAATGTTTAAGAGCACGTTGATTTCCCGCTCATATATAAGTTTGATGCTATTTTTGTTGACTGTTATTAGTGTACTTCAAATCACTATTTCCTTATTGACAAAATTATTTATAATATAATGAGACTAAATTCATCTTCAGACAGTCTTGTAATATACAAAACTACACTAGTAACTAACTACAGAGACTTTGAGCTTCTTGCAATTGTAATATCTATAAATTTAAGAAATTAAATCAAAATTGTGTAAATCGTACCCCCTGTCAAAGAAGTTCGAAATTTTTAGTATTCACTGTAATCAATTAATTTAAAACCTTCATATATTAAAATGGGTTTTCAGTTTATGTTTTCTCTTTTCTTTTAAAAAAAAAATGAAAAAAAACTCAGCATCGTTTACTTTCCACTAATGACTGTAATAATTCATAATGCACAAAATTCAAATTTATTTAGTAAAGAAAAAAAGAAACCTAATAAATTCTAACTATCGCACCCTTTTTTTTTTCCAGAAAAACAAATATGCATCCAAAAAATATCTTAGAAAAAAAAATTAAAGAAAGATTTTTAAGTAGAAACTTTTCGAAAGTTTATACACAAATTAAGAGTAGAAAATATGAAAATTTTTAAAGTGGATTAAAGTAGAAAATGAAGCTACCAATACGAATCTTTTAGCGACCTAAATATGTGACAACTAGGTATGTATGAAACTCATAATTCCAATTAAGAATGCACTTACAGCTATACGTTTTAGACTGGAATTCTGTTTAATTTAAAATAATTTTGAAATTGAAGATTTTCAAAATAACAATATTTATTTCAGTAGATGTATTTGGTCTAAAAATTTTGGGCAAATTTGAGTTCCAGTTAAATTGCATGCAGAATTAAAAAAGCAGGTTTTAAATAGGTCACTTGTTGTCAAATTGGAAAATAAAAGCACAAATATTGAAAAAGGTACAAGTTCAAATATTGTTTAAAGAGCTTTTTTTGTTTGTTCACCAGTAAGCACAGACTCTACGAAGCGTTTTAGGTTAAGTTTTCGCTAGTGAAGCATTGCGACTCAACGTGACGTAAGACCGGTCAGCTTAAGACTGAACGTAATCAATAATTTTAATTGTAGTATTTTCATATCCGATAAATTGAAATTTCTTAGAAATTGAGCATTAAGCCTAAACGTTTTATGGCAATTTCAATTGATTTTAAATTTTTTGCTTTTAAATTCTATTTTTAGGCTCATTTTCTTTTATTCTAGAATCATTTAAATTTATTATGTAATATTATACAAAAAGTTGGCATTATTAATTATAAGGTATGTGTCTCTGTCAGAGACGTGCTATTAATTTAAAAAGTTCTTTGAACTTCTATACGCATAAATTATAAAAATATAGGCATTAAAAGAAATAAGATGAGTTTATAAAAAGGGGGCTGGGGTAAATGGTGGATGAGTACAAACTTACAATATTTTCCTTTATTTATGATATTTTTTTTTCTTATTATTGTTCTATTCTTAAATTTCAGTTTTCAATTAGATCAAAACCGCTATAACAATTATCTTCTTTTTTTTTTCTCCCATCCAATATTTTGGAAGGTGATTAAACGTTTAATTACCGATCTATTGTTATACGATATACGATCATATACGTTTCAGTATAGCCACATTATATCGGTTTATATCGGTGTATGTAATGATTGTGTATGAATAATGTAAGAAAATAACTTTATAAATTATGGTAAAATTTTATTTGTACGCGAAGCTTTAAAATTTTTTTGTTTCACTGAAATTCTTTTATAGAAATGCAGATCATTCTTCTTTTGATTCTTCTTATAAAGATTCACATGAATACTATATGTAATATAAATGGTGTAGGAGTTACAAAATCCATAAAAAAAAGAAAATAAATACTTTTTGTAATATTGTGAATATTTTAGAATTTGAATATGAATAAGAAGAATTTTTTGATTGATATGTAAACATTTTAATCTTATTATCAATGGTTGTCTTGTTAACAAAAGAAGATTTACATTATTTATTTGGTAGATTGTGAGGCAAACAATAAGCATATAAGAAAAACATGAGAATTCTTGTAATTTTTTTTTTTTTAAAAAAATTCTTTTATAAAATACAAATGATCGCATATTTAATTGGAGAAGATTTTTAAAATATTATTTTGTCGTGATAGAAGCTTTAATTGTCTTTTATAACCATTATAATAATTCAAAATCTTATAAGAATAAAATTTATTTATTATTTTAAAGAGCCTCTATTGAATTTGATTTTAAAATGAAATTAAAATATTGAATTTCATTTTAATACTGAAAAATATTGATGAGAAAAATTTATAAATGCCAAACATATTTTTCATTCTAAAAATTAAAGTCATTGAATTCATTCCTAAATTTAAAATTAAGACATTAAAGAGTGAAAGAAGGTTTTTACATATTTTTCAGGTGGAACAAAAGAAATTTTTAAAATTTTTATTGTAATTATAAAAAATTTTTTCTATAATTTCAAAAACAAATCATAAATGCATGAAAGCTTAATTTTGGACCTAAGTAATTTGAAAAATAATCTTAAATCTTGAGATATGCACATATTATGCACAAACAATACAAATTTTTGGTAAAAATTGAGTATTTAATTTAAAATTACTTAAACATTTTGTACCTTAATTTAATTTTGTAATACTCGTATGTACGAATAACGCTAGAAATTTGCTTTTGAAAATGTTTTTCACTGTTCGAATTACTCACCTGAAAATAAAAACAAAAAATTAACATTAGTTTTTGTATATATAAAAAAAAATCTATTTTAAATTAATTATAATAATTATTAATATTTATTTCAAATTTTAGTATTAAACCAAACCACTTCATAGATTAACAATACCAGTGTTAAAGCCAACTCACCACTACCTTTCTAGCATTAATAACTGTAAAATTTTATAATATTGTAGATATAAGGCTCTCATTTTAAGCCATGTTTAAGAGTAATTTAATCTATATAATTTTCAAAATTAATTTTTTTGTAATTCTATATTATTATCCCTTTCAATTCCGATAATTAGAATACATATTTTCCAAATAATTCCGGAAATAATAATGTCATTCCGTTTCTGGATCCGTTCGATTTAGTAAAATTTCCTTTTTAAAAAAGAACATTTAAAAGAGAAATGAACGAAATAATTTTTCAAATCTGAATTCTTAAAAGTTGGACCTGGAAGTTCTTTGTCTGTATTAGTTTTCAATGACCTAATAGTTTAAAACTTGTTTATTAGAAATTAAGTTCCTTATAAGCAAGAGTCAAAAATTAAAATTTAGGAAATAATTTATAGATTTTTGAACTTTTTGTCACGTGATTGCATAAATTTATATTACTCAATAATCTTTAAATTTGTTTGCCATAAATGTCAGAATTTGTTTCTAATTTTTGCTCTCATTTCGATTTTCTCTCATTTCTTTATGTTATTCAAAGTTTTTATTAAGCTTGTCATCCTGTTTCTGCAAATTTATTGAATATTTAATTTTCGGAATCAAAGCCTAAATTTTTATATTTCATGTAATTCTGAAAGTTGGCGATTATTTTCAATAAAATTGCTTTTAATTTTAATTATTTAATTAATTTTTTTCTTAATTAATACCAATTTTTTTTGTATACTTATAATTTTAGGCTGTAATTTATAGACCACATTTAATTTTTAAATTGTGCTACTAAAAATTCAATTTTGTATTTGGGATTCAAGAACGTTTTTAATTTTTAAAATATTTAAAGGTTTCCGGAAATGAATTTCTTATTTCATTATTTCTCTTATGTCATTCCAGTTTTTATAACAAGTTATTTTAAACCGTTTTGTATTCTTGCACTTTTATAGCAAATTAAATTAATTTCAGTTTAGTATCGCATTTTTATGAATTCTTTAAGACTAAATTAAAATTTTATGATGCATTAAAAAAATTTTTCATTTTTTTTTCGACTAAATTTCAATTATAATTAAAATATTTTATTATCTAATAAATAATTTTTGCTTTTTTAAAGATTCTTTAACCAAATAATGCTTATTATTAGTATACAAAAATATTTTAAATATTTTTTTTTATACTTTAATTTCCACTTGACCTTATACGCCTCCCTAATTTTTATGTTCGAAAACATGGTAAATTGTGTACAGTAAATAAAAAAAAACGAAAATGAAATTAATAAAAAATAAAGTTCAAGTTCAATCAGCTTTTTGGAATTTTAAATTCCGCCCTTGATAACCATTCAAAGTGTTTTGATTTTAAGCATTAAATTCTTAAAAAAATTATTATTTAATATGTTGATTCCCATATCAATAAATCTGTAATAAATAATTTACCTTTTAAAGGTAACAATTTAATCCCTGAAGATTGAAGCGACCGTAACAAAAAAAAAAAACGAAAATCAAAACAAAATTTATTAAAGCCGATAAAATTAAAAACTAACAAAGAGAATCTGATGACAAGCACTTTTTTTTTTGGTACTGTTATTATTACTCTTAAAATTCTTTCCCCTTTCTCTCGGTATTTCTCTTTTTTTTCAATTATAGGGTTTTCTTTTTTTTTGTGACTATGCACTTGAATGCATTTTCGATTCGTTTGAGTGATCGGAAGATTATCATTGTAAAATGATGAATGAGACAAGTAAAAGAAAAGAAGAAAATGAAGAGAAAAGCAAGCATGTATGCAGAAGAAAGTCTGACGGATTGAAGGTTACAAGATTAAGAATTTCAGATCAGATGACTTTATGCTTTCTCCTGAATTGAATGTATTCGTGTGTGTCTTAATCTAGATTTTGACATGCTTGTCAAATTTGTAGTCTATTTTTTTGTTTCTCTTTTTGCTTTATCATCTTTATGCCACTGCATTCGCTACTTAATACCGAGAATCGCTTTCTCAGATAAATTTTTTTTTTGTGTTCAATAAATTTGTTTTACTTGTTTTGCTTATTGTTACTGTTGTTGTTTCAATTTGAGACGATTAATTACAATCGTATAACCGTGTAGGTAAGTTGATACCTAAAATGAAACGCTCAATGATCAATCAAACGTAAATAATCAATCATTTCAATCAAAGCTTTTTAAATTTTTCTGTTTTTTGTTTTTGCGTAATTCTCTTTTTTTTTTGGTTTATTTTTTTTCTATTATTAAACTATTTAATATTATTTTTAATACCCAAAAAAAAAAGAACAAAACAATAAAAATTTGGAGTAAAAATTGTGACATGACCTTGCGTATAAGTTATTCATATTTTAACGCCAGCGCATTTTTTACAAGTACACGAAATACATTGTTTTGATTGCTAATGGGATGCCAGTTTTTCTATAAAATTTTTAATATTATGACGTTTTCATTTGAAAATACAAAATACTCTTGTTATAACTTAGTCTAGTTCCAAATAGCATACTTGTAATAACTTTAATTTTGTCTAAAACTGAAGGGAGTTAAAATTTAGTAAATTACAGTATAATTTAATTACTATTAATTATAAAAAAAAGGAAATGAGATGAAAATTTTCTCGAATGTTAAGCCCAACTTAAACAATCTCCATTTTATAATCAGATTTGCTAGAATTTGTTTTTAAAAATTCTACAAAAGTAAGTTTGAAAGCATGGTTTTCATTCAAATTGTTTTAAATTTTATTTTTTAATTGTGATAAAAAGTGTTTACTTTTTAATTTTCTCTCAACATATTTTACAAAATTTCTTTAACAAAAATAGCAATTGGCAACCCCAAATTCATACACACTCTTTTATTATATAATAATAAATTACAACAGTTTATAAATTTTTTTTTTTGGCAAAAGTAAACAAACTTATTGAATCGACACTGTCAATTTGAACAAAAATTTACTGCTATATATAGAGGCAAATAAAACGAGCAAAAAGAAAAGCTAAAATAAAAAGTAAATGAAGTAGCGTATAGGCATAAAATCAGTGGCAGGAGGCGGTAAATGAATTTTTAATTTAAACTTGCGCTTTATACTTATTCTTTTTATACTTTTTTCTTAATATTTTATTTTAGTTTCAACATTATACATTTTGTATGACTCCAGGTGATATGATTTTCAATCAGAAGTTAATGAACACGTACGTACATACAGAAAAATTGTAATTATACAATATTACTACGAGTACAGAATACATGTGAACACACATGTGAATTTCCACAAAATATTAAGTAACAATTTAATATTAATTCAATTTTGAGATTATAAACAGTAGGAGAAGAAGTTTAAAGGACATTTTTTTAAGTTATATTTAGGAAAATATTGAACGAAATGTATGATGATTTTGTAAAACCTAAAGCCTGATTTTAATGGGGAATTATACGCATGTTAATGTTTTCTAAAAAAATATCTTGGTAATTAGCGCAATAGTTCACGTTTTAATTATCGAACGTTTTTTTTTTTCACGTAGGTGTTTAAACACGTGGCTATAAGTTTTGTAGTCTAATTTTGTCATTATTAATCTGAATTTTCGACTAACTTGTCTATGAAATGACTATCTCTTTGAAATTTATGCAGAATTTTTTAAATATCTGGAAACAGAGAAGAGAGTAACTGCATTTTAATTTCAAGCACTTCGGCTGGCTTTAACTTTTCTGTTACTCATAATTTATTTGTGTATTTGTACTAAGTGTGCTAAAATAAAATATGCCATTAGATTTCTTAATATTTACATAAATCTTTTCTCCTCCAAATTCAGAATCCCTGAATTTTTCTAAATTCGACTCATTGTTTGTCTATACTTATTACGCTAAAGGCCCATAAATTTAAATTATATTTAATAAAAATTATTTTTATTATTTTCTCTATTTGATTGGCCTTAAATTAAAATATTGAAATTTGATTATTATTTTAAAATTTAATAAAAAAAATTAAATTAAAAAAGAAATATAGATTATAGATTATTTTTGTATTAATAATTTCCCCTTAAACCAGAACAACCCTTAAGGTTATTAAATTTTAAATAACATTTTTGTCAACTTTTCATAACTTTTTTTTTTTGTTGTCTTTTTGAAGTTTCTATATTTTCCAATAAATCGATTTTCAATGACTGCCAATATTTTCAAAGTCTATTGAATTTTACCTTCAAATTGCAATTAATAATTCCACCTACACAATAATAATTTTAATATTTAAAATACAAAATGGAATTTTTGCTATATTTTTAACTGAGTCATAAATTAAATCGATTAATCGAAAAATAAGAAGCATAAAGAACAAAAACAAAAAAATATGAATGAAGAAATAAATCGAAAAATTCAAAGTAATAAAAGCAAAGGGGGTAAAAAGAGTACTTTGAAAGAAAAAAAAAAGCTTAGCTGGCGGCAGGTTAGCGACAGAAAAATTTAATTATTAAGAAAACAATTTAAAAATCCGCAATTAAAAACAAATGAAATCGAAAGTGTTTTTTAATCGAATTAATTGCTTATAATAAAATAACGTTTGTAAGTTTGTATGTAAGTGTATTTATAAATTTTATGCGAATGCCTAAATAGAATTTTACGTTCATAAATATTATTTTTAATTTTGTTTACTATTTCTATTTTATTATTAATTTTTTTAAATAATGAAATTAAACGAGAAAATTTAAAATTGTTGAGATTTTATTGTTTAATAATAATATGAAGATTTTATTGCAGAAAAAAAATTGTTAACACTAGCAAGTAGAAAAAATTGTAATAAAATTTTTATTAAAGAATTTATTTTTAATATCAGCAATAATTAAAGGAATA